CAATTTAGGTAGACACTCTTAAGGTATACAATCATAGTATTGGCCGAAGTAAATGCCACAATCCTTCTCTGTAAAATAATATTCTAGTTATATTTTTCAAGTGTCATGTTCCTAAAGAAATATTGGAAATAGAAATTTGATTTGCAATGTTAGCTATCACGCTCCCATTTGTTATCAACGGATTTGGACTCTACTTCATGAGATCATAATGTGAGCACTTTGCCAAAAAAATTCTCTTGTTTGCATAAATGTGTGTATTAAAGTGAACTTTTTAAAAACCTTAGGCTCCGTTTGGCAAATGGTTAAGGAAGAGGGGTTAAAAAGAAGGATTAATGTACTTAGCCCATTTGATAATCTGAAGGACTAAATTGGTTAAGGAAGAGGGGTTAAAAAGAAGGATTAATGTACTTAGCCCATTTGATAATCTGAAGGACTAAATTATTAACCCGTTAAATAAGTTTTATTTTAGTCATTGTGATCAGTTTTAGTGTTTGGGAATAACAATGATTTTGACTATTTTCTTTATAATTAGAAGGGTTAACTCTTAATCCTTCTAAATAGGAGTAATAGTAAACCCCTCATTTTGAGGGGTAACTCATTTTAATCCCTCTAGCTAGAGGGGTTAGCTTAACCCTTATATATTTTTTATGTTTGGCAAATTATGGAGGGTTAACTCATTTTAACCATTGTATAATTTTTTTTGTGTTTAGCGGGTTAAGAAGGGGTAAAGTCTCATTAACCCCTCACTTAACCCTTTGCCAAACGGCACCTTAGGGTATATAAATGTTGCCAAAAACAATAGAGGGTATGTAAGTTCAAAGTAGGTAAAACTATACGATATTCAAGTGTAATAAAGCATTTTTTTATTTCTATTAATTTTTTGACAGGTGAGATGTATTTTAGCCTTTCTTAAGTCACGTACTTGGCAATGACACACTTTTTGGCTTAATGATGCTAATTTGAGGGTTAAAGTGAAAAATCTTTAACGAGTTTAATAGAATAAATTTTTTTTAAGGGCTATGTGAAAAATCCCTCAAGTTTCAGGCAGTTTTGTAAATTTATAGTAGTTAAGGGTGGTTATCTCAAAAAATGCCAAAAATAATGGGGTGATTGTGAAATTTGATCTTTTATTTATTTAAATATTTTAAGTGGACGGAGATGGACGATGGTGAAGAATTAGTTGAGCTCGAAAGTAAATAACTAAATTTGTCAAAGAAAAAAAAATAAACAAAGTACATATAAAAGAAAAGAAAAGACAAATTGGCTAGATTGGATTACTAAACATTATATAACCTTTCTGGCTTCACCTCTTTGGCAAATGACATGCCCATAAGACAATTTAAGACAATGAAAAATCACAACTCCTTAAATAGAATTGGAATGTTATCATACAATTTAAAATTCACAACCAAAATTTTCTCAACTTTTTTTTTGAGAGAAAGGATGGAATACCACAAAGGTATTCCAGCCAGCTAAATTAAAATAGATGGTTGTTACAGAAACCGAACATACTCCCAACCATAGAGTATGAACTACTGTTTAAACCAAAAGCTTACAAAACCAAATCACACCTCCATAGCCAAAGTATCAGACATAATCTCCCAAAAAGAGAACAAAAGAAAACCAACACAGCAAACATATAAGCCGAAATACAACCCCATGTTATATACATCACCAAAATCAGAAGACTTATCTTTACCATCCACCAACCGCAACCAACGATCAGCAAAAGCTTCATTCCAACTGGATCACTTGGAGCTCAGCCCTCCCACCAGCAGCTGCGCCATCATTACTAAGTCTCCCAGCAATTTTCTTTCTCCTCCTATCATGTAACCTAGCAGCTCGAACAGAAATCTCTTTAGAACCTAACCAGAAGGTTGAATAAGTCACAATTTTATTTAAGAGAAGAAGAGATCCTTTCTGCTTATTAGAAAACAATCTATCATTGCGTTCCTGCCACACACACCAGATCAGGGAGCAAATCCACACTAACTTCCTCAAATTAGATTCTCCCCCAATATCACCACTCCAGCTAAGCCAAACTTCTTCCAAAGAGTTCATTCTAAAATCATTATCAGTATTCAACTTGAATTGAATAGATCTCCAAATTGAGTAAACAAACTCACAGTTAAGAAACAAATGTGCATGATCTTCATCTTTTTCTGAACACAAACAACATGTTTTCTCTATTTGAATACCCTTTCTATTCAGCATATCTTTAGTATTCAAACCCTCCCTTAAAGCCAACCAAACTAAGACCTTGATCTTTAAAGGAACAGGGAGGCCCCATAAGTTCATACAATCATATCTCATTCCTCCATCATTAAGAAAAAGATAATAGGACTTGACTGTAAACAACTTTTTTGTCTCCCATAACCAATCTCTTTTATCCTCATGATACAAGAAGTTCTTTGAATTAATAAGATTCATCAAATTAAGATATTGCAACACTAAAGCACCTGTCAACTGCCTTTTAAAATGAATCTCCCATCTCCACGAATCATTTTCAAACTTCCTCAAATTACTCACACAAGCATAAGGAGATGATGTGATAGAGAACAAAGAGGGAAATAATGAGGCAAGAGTACACGAACCTAACCATTTATCCAACCAGAATAAAGTATATTTTCCATTACCAATCTCCACTCTAGTACTGCATAGGAAACTGTTAGCATTGACCAAAATACATTTCCAAAAATATGAAAGATGCAATTTGTCAGAGTATAAGAATTCAGACCAAGGTTTTTTTTTTCAAAATAACTATGAAAACTGATTTGTTTCCAAAGACCAGGTTTAACATCAAACCATTTCCATAACCATTTCCCTAAAAGGGCTTTGTTCATAACCTTCAGATTTTTAATTCCCAAACCACCACACTTTTTTGGTTTGCACACTTCTTCCCATTTAACCAAGTTAGAACACCCTTTATGTTCCAAAGAACCACTCCATAAAAATAACCAAGTTAGAACACCCTTTATGTTCCAAAGAACCACTCCATAAAAACCTTCTTCTCATCTTATCAAATTTTCCAATAACCCATAAAGGAAATAAAAAATAAGATAGCCAAAAAGTTGGTATCGAGGAAAGAACAACATTAACTAATACTAATCTACCTCCTCGTGATAAGGAATTTTCTTTCCATAAGGCTAATCTTTTTTCAATTTTGATAATCAAAGGAGATCAATCATCTTTTTTTAATTTCCCAGGTCTTAAAGGCATCCCAAGATAAGTAATAGGAAAACTACCACTTTTACAATTCATCATAGTGGCCAAACATTGTTGTAATGATTCATCATTCTCAAGAGCAATGAGAACACTCTTGTTAAAACTAATCTGTAGCCCAGAAGCTAATTCAAAACAGTAAAGAATCAATTTCAAAACTGTCAACTGTTCTCTGTTATTTTTGCAAAAAATCAGTGTATCATCTGCATACTGTAGGCAACGAACTTTATCTCTCATATTATTGGGTCCTAACCCTTCAATAAGATGGGATTCCACTGCTAAATTTAGCATTTTAGTAAAAGAGTCTGCTGCCAAAACAAACAAAAGGGGAGACAAAGGATCTCCTTGAAAATTTAGCATTTTAGTAAAAGAGTCTGCTGCCAAAACAAACAAAAGGGGAGACAAAGGATCTCCTTGACGTACCTCTTGGACATGATCCACCTCCCTACTTTACCATTAATATCAATGGCAGACATTCCCCCATGTAAACATAATTTCACCCAATGCACCCATTTATCCCCAAATTTTTTAGCTTTCAAAACATCAATAATAAAATCCCAATCAAGCATATCATAAGCTTTCACAAAATCTAGCTTTAATAAAATTCCCCCTCTTTTCTTATTTTGAAAACAGTCATTGATAATCTCTTGAGCTGCAACTGCCCCATCAAGCAAGTATCTGTTTTTAATAAAACCAGATTGTAAAGGATCAATAAGCAAATCAAGCTTAGTGTTCAACCTGTTAGTAAGGACTTTAGTAATCATTTTATATATCACATTAAGAAGACTGATGGGTCTGTATTCATTAACAGAAGAAGAATCCTCTTTTTTTGGAATAAGGACAATGTGAGCATAATTCAATCTATTGATTTCTAAAGTACCTTCATAGAATTCCTCAAACAATTTCATAATATCATCTTTCACTGTGTCCCAAAACACTTGAAAGAATAGAGCAGAAAAGCCATCAGGACCAGGGGATTTATCCCCATTCATATCAGAAATGGCTTTATGAACTTCTTCAACCGAAAAAGGTTGTTCAATGTCATTGGACCCCCAATCAAACTCAAGGAACAATCTATTCCAATCAAGGAGACACCTGCTAGTAACTTTATTCCCAAAAATTTGATTGTAATGGTTTTAAAAAACCTGAGCTATACCATCTTCAGAGCTAATTTCCACATTATTATGAGTAATTGAAGAAATCAAATTACTTCTCTTTCTCCCATTGGCAATTTTATGAAAATACTTAGTGTTATTATCCCCCTCTTTTAACCAATGAGCTTTAGATCTCTGTTTCCACATTTGTTCTTCTTGTAATAAGATTTCATTCAACTGTACAACAGTATCATTTTTTTTTATCAACTCATCATCAGACAAGTCTCTATTCTCCTCCAAAACTTCCCAAGTTAAAAGATTATCTAATAAATCTTTATTTTGTTGTCTCACACTATGAAAATTTAAATGCACCCATTGTTTTATACATTTCCTCATAAACCTGAGTTTACCAACTATGTTTTTAGCTGCAGAGACACTTGAAGGAGCACATCTCCACCAGACAAGCACATTATTTAGGAAATCATCAGATCTTAACCAAATTTTTTCAAATCTGAATTTTTTAACATAACATTGATTATCCCCAAAGTCAAAACTAATGGGAGCATGATCAGATAATTGACTGCTGAGCCCCTGTTGTTTAGAAAAAGGAAAAATATCTTCCTAATCAGAGTTGGAAAAAACTCTATCCAACCTAGCCATAGAAGGAGACCTTCTTTTATTTGATCAAGTGAATTTCCTCCCATGTAAAGGACTGTCAATCAATTCCAACTCGTTAATAATATCATTAAACTCCTCCATTTCTCTTCTATAATTACTTTTGCCTTTTCTTTCAGAAGAATTAGAAGTAACATTAAAATCTCCAACCACAATCCAAGGGCCTGAAAAAGTATTTTTAATATCTTTCAACTCCTGCCAAAATACCATCCTCTCTTTATTACAGTGTGGACCATAAACTGAAGAAAGAGTCCATTTAAAATTATTTTTTTTACTTTGTAAAACCACAGTCAAAACATACTTATCAACTTTCTCTTGTAACATCTTCCAACTGGAGCTATTCCATCCAATCATAATTCCACCAGAAGAGCCTTCAGATGGTACAAAAGACCAATCAAACAAATTACCCCCCAAACTTTTTAAAATACTCTCTGTAACAGTATTCAACTTAGTTTCTTGTAAACAAATAATATCAAATTTGTTCAATTGACAGAAATCTCTAACACCAAATCTTTTTGTATCCAACCCCAAGCCTCTGACATTCCATGTAATCAACATGATACCAAAAACAACACCTCAAAAAAAGGACAACAGAGTCTACTCAAAAGTAGCTCTCTCTTGTTCCATCTGCCTCACTTTTTTAATAGGATCAAAATTCTCCTGAGGCTCAAGAATAATAGCACATTTAGATGCATATTTCTGTAACTGGTAATTAGAGCAATTTTCAAACAGAATTGGAACAAAAGAAGAACCCATGGCAGAAGAAGAAGAAGATTCACCTGAACCACCAGTGACTCCAGGAGTAAAGTTATTGTCAATCTGCTCCATTCTTGAAGTAGCTCTATCTAAAGCAGACATTGGTTCAAGAGCAGCAAATCTGGCACATCTTCTGACAAAAGACACCTTCGTATTACAAATTGGGTCTTCAGGTGGCAGAGACTTCAGAGGTTGAATCATAAGAATGTCATCTTCTTTAACTACATCTTCCTCAAAGTTATTTGGAATTGATATCCCTTTATCAGCAGTAAAATCTTCACTAACTATGATAGCTTTGCCTTTGGATTCATCACATATTTTAGATTCCTCTTCCACAATTGGTTCTTCTCTAACTTCAGAAGACAAAGGAATATTAACAACTAATTCCTCATCTTTGCTAATATCTTCTTCTGAATTTTCCATGTTAATAACATTTTCTTCTATCCCATCCATCATCAATTTTTCTTGAACTTGTTGCTCACTATTATCCTTCAGCACATTAACATCCCAAGATTCCCATCCAGAACTATGTTTCTGATAAAAATTTTCTCAACTTTATTTCGTAAATTGTCATCATGTTCTAAAATAATGAAAAATCACAGTTCCTAAATAGAGTTAGAATCCTATCATAAGTTTCAAAATTTAATCTCAAACTTTGTCATAAATAATCTAAAATTTAAGACTGAATAATATCCATTTAACAAATAAAATCAAATACTCTATTAGATAAAGTTAAATCTAATTAGAAATCTAAATATAAATATGATAACAAATTTATCAACCCTATAACTAGTTCTTCCACTGGATCAGAAATTTTCACCCAATCTTTATTTGATCATTAATTCATGATCTTGCATCATAAAGTGTTTAACTTGTGTATAAATTATATTAAGGTGAAATCGTCAAGCCATATCAGCACCTCGTTCCTCTGCATATCCAAAAAGAACCCATGGGAATATAAATCAGTAACGTTATAGTAAAAGATAAATTAACTGGAAATGTAACAATAAAATTCAAGAACCACTCAGTGGGTTATTATTTTTTTGCGAATATAATTGTAAAGTAGAAGAAGTAAAGAAAGCAAATGTTACTTTTGCTACTTCTGAGCAAATTAGCTTGATTGTTTCTCAGAAATATCTACTTCCATTACTTTTAGTTAGAAGTAACTGGAACCCCAAGTTGTTCCAAAAATATTTAAATTTCAAAAGTATTATTTGGCTAGATGTTATTGCAACACCAAAAGATGGTTGCAGCAACAAAATAAATCAAAAATCGAGGTGTTGGAACAACACTCAAATTTAAGAGTGTTGCAATACAGTGAGTTAGAACACCATTAATATTTGTTATTCCAACTCTTTCTAACCGAACACACTATACTGATGTGGCGCCTACATGTCATTTTTCTTTCCTAAATTGTTTCCGCCCTTCAAGGGTCAGAAGTAGCTTAGATTAGGTGAAATGTGCATTAATTAGGGATTAAATTTGTCATATGTATTAAACGTATTATCATTTGTTAAGTTATTTAAGTCTATGTTATGTAGTTCTAATGGGTCAATTGAGTCAATATTATATGGTTGTTGTAATGAATCATGTGACTAGCACATGTTGGAGTTCATATGAAGAACCAAATGGATGGCTAAGATTAGATCAAAATAATGAGATGTATGGTTAAATGAGTTTGTTATGTAATATTACTCAAATAAAGAAAATAGAGAAAAACAACTTCTCCCCAGATTCCTCTAAACTCTCTTCTCCTACCTCTCTACAAATCCTCCAAAATCTCCGTTGTCAACCAAATCAAAACCAACATAATTGATATTAGAGCTTAGGTGGATCATCTCTATTGCGTTTGAGCAAAAAGAGTGGGAAAACAAATCTCATTCAAGAAGAATAATAATAAACCCTAGAGAGGGATTTTCATGGCAACTTCCTCAAACATGGGTGCAGACATCAGTCAACCCTCTGTTTCTATGTTTTATGGTGAAAACTATAATTATTAGAGTATCAAGATGAACTCTCTTCATCTCACAAGAGATTTGGAATTTGGTGGAGGATGTGCTTGAAGAACCCAATACATCAACCACTCCATCTAGCAATGCAAAGGAGAACAAGAAGAAAGATGCAAAAACCCTCTTCTTTATTCAACAAACAGTGTTGGGGAAGATTTTCCAAGAGTCATTGGAGTCTCTAAAGTTGAGGATGCATAGGACAGTGTAAAAGTGGGGTTTCAAGAAAATATCAAGATGAGAACCAGTCAACTTCAAGCTCTTAGAAGAGAGTTGGAAAATTTAAAAACAAATTAAAAGAGAATGAAAGCATGAAAGATTACTTCTTTAAAATTATGGGTATTATAAATCAAGTGAAAAGTTATGAAGAAAAGATTAGTGTTCGAAGAGTATGTGAAAAAAATATTGATTAGTCTCCCGCAAAAGTTTGATATCATTGTTGCTACTATTGAAGAAACTAAAGATCTATCCACTTAGAGTGTGCATAAGTAAAGATTGAGTAGGTATAATAAAAAAAATCTCTTAAAATGCATTTCAATCTAAGTGCATGTTTGACAACTTACTTATTTCTATTTATAAGTAACTTTTTACTTATAAGTTGGCAACATTGTGTTTAGTAAGAGTCACTTATGTTACTTATTTGTTACTTATAAGTGGCCAAAAAAAAAGTTGAAAATTTTCAACTTATTTTTTGGCGACTTATAAGGAAATTTTCTTATGTAGACATAAATACTCTCCTATTATCTTTTATAAATTGATTAATTTTATTAATTAATTAGTTAATTTATTTATTAATTATTGTTATTTTATTAATAATAATATATAATATTATAACAATATATAATATATAATATATAATATCATGATGATATTACAATATATTATAATAACATAATATATAATAATATTATATATTATTATATTACTATTAGTACATATATATACATATTATATATTATTATAATATATTATAATATTATCATGGTATTATATATTATAATATATAATATTATTATACTATATATTATAATATATATAATATTATTATATTATTATATTATAATATATAATATGACAATATTATAGCATATTGTATGTATATATTTTAATTATTTTCTTCTTATTATTATTTTATTAATATGACATTAATTAATTAATCACAATATTAGTAATTAGTAAACACAAATAATGTAATATATATTTTAATCAAATATATTTTGAATTATGAAATAACTAACTTTTAATTATTAAATAATTATTTTTTTAATTATAATATTTTACTAATATGAATCTAATTACTTAATCTCAATATTAGTATTTGATAATCAAATATATATTTTTATATGAGATAACTAATTTTTTTATAATAATATTTCAATACAATGAAATTAAATTAATTAATCTCAAAGTTATTAATCAATACTTATAATTGATTTGAGATAATTAATTATAAATTATTTTATTTTTAAATAATTAACAAATTTATTATTATTAATAGTATGGTTAATATAAAATAAGTTAATAAGTCACACTATGGAGTTACAATAATATGTTCTTTTTGGTCATTGTACATTTAACACAACTTTATACGTTATTAATTAATAAATTTATTATTTTTAATTGTCTGGTTAATATAAAATAAGTTAATAAGTCATACTATGGAGTTACAATAATATGTTCTTTTCAGTCATTTGATATTTAACACAACTTTATAAGTTATTATAGTTTATCAAATACATAACTATTTATATTTTGTTGATGGCTATGTGATCAAACAGTCAATTGGATCCATGATAGGATCGATTTGCGAAATATTGAAGTGAGGTCGCTTTATTTCTTGACTTTATGGCTAATTCTTGAGTGAGGTTTGAGGAATTTGCACATGTAGAAACTCGTGAGAGGACGGGGATTGACTCCTCCATTGTACCTCTGATAATCAAGTTAGTTAAAGAACTTGAGTGGGGAAAAAATAAGAATTGTATGTTCTTGCAATTGTGTAATATTTATTTTAGGGAATCAGATTTGTGAACCTCCAATAAGTTCGAATAGTATCTGCATTTATACTAAGGGCTTTGAGGGTAGCTTAGTCACTTTGGCCGAGTACAGTAGGACGGTGACGAAGGACAAGCAGGCAGCTGAGTCGGCTTCTGCTTGCCAGGTGTCGGTTGTCGACCGGAGGGAGGATCACGTCAATCATACCTTTGAGCGGAGGTAAGGCTTTATAACTAATTTTTTTATATGAGATAGCAAATCAAATATATTTTTTTATATGAGATAACTAATTTTTATTAATAATAATATTTCAATACAATGAAATTAAATTAATTAATCTTAATATTATTAATCAATGCTTATAATTGATTTGAGATAATTAATTATAAATTATTTACTTTTTAAATAATTAATAAATCTATTATTATTAATAATTGTCTGGTTAATATAAAATAAGTTAATAAGTCACACTATGGAGTTACAATAATATGTTCTTTTTGGTCATTTGACATTTAACACAACTTTATAAGTTATTAATTAATAAATTTATTATTATTAATTGTGGTTAGCGTAAAATAAGTTAATAAGTCACACTATGGAGTTACAATAATATGTTCTTTTTGGTCATTTGATATTTAACACAACTTTATAAGTTATTAGTTTATCAAACACATAACAATTTATATTTCCTTATAAATTAAGGGGTTTACTAAACAACTTTCTTATTTTCTTACATACTTATAAGAAGTTTTAAGAATGAGTAAAAAGTGACTTAAAAGGACTCAAAAAGTAAGTAATAGCCAACCATGCTCTAAAGCTCAATGTGGCCTCCAAAAGTCCTCATATTGATGGTGGGCCAAAAAATGGTGAACTTTTTTGAGGTGAAAGAAAGGCAAGAGGAAGAGGAAGAAATGCAAGAGGAAGAGGAAGAAACAACTTTCAAGCAAGCATCAATGACGACAATTAAGCTCGGTGCAATATTTATAAGAGGTCTTCTCATGTTGAAAAAGATTGTTGGTTCAAGGGCTAGCCTCAATAGCACAATTGCAAGAAGTTATATAGATTCGAGAATGAACAAGCAAATTACACTAAAGAGAAAGAGAATGATGACAACACTTTCTATGCATGTCAAAGCGTCTTCGAATTCAAGAATGATATATAGCTCATTGATAGTGGGTGTAACAATTATATGACTGGTGACAAGTCTATTTGTATGGATATCAATGCTTCTACTACCTCTCAAGAGAAGATGAAAAATGGTGCAAATGCTCAAGCAAAGGGAAAAGACACCATTGTCATTGACACAAAGAAGGGGAGAAAGTTTTTCGTGATGTTCTACTTGTTCTGAGGATCTTAATACAAATTTTCTTAGTGTTGGGCAATTAACAGAGCATGAACATATTTTTAACTTTTAAGATATGGTGTGCTAGATATGACAAGGGGAGACAAAGAGATTTCATGGCAACTATCAAAATGGAGAAGATTTCATTTCACTCTCCGATATGCTAAATTTATCGCTCTTAAGATGGAGGTGAGTGATTAGTCATAGCTATGGCACCAAAGATGTGGGCACTTAAATTTTTAAAGGTTAGAGAGTTTACATAAATGGTGTATGGTCTACTGCTAGTATAAGAGAAGCATAAAGTTTGTGAGGGGTGCGCACTTAGAAAACACAACTGAGATGCTTTTCCAAAAGAGAAAGCATGGAGAGGCACAACACCATTAGAGTTCATTCACACCGGTGTATGCAGGCCAATGAGAATACCATCACATGCTGGTAACCTCTACTTTTTAACTTCATTGATCATTTTTCAAGAATGACTTGGGCTCATTCTATGAAGCACAAATTTAAAGTTTTCTCTATTTTCATGAAATTCAAGAGCTTTGTTGAGAGGTAAAGTGGACACTACATCAAAGTGGTTAGAAGTGA